TTAGATTTCTCTCTTCTGAGATCTCTCGCTTCGATCCCACCTCTCTCTCTCTCTCTCTCTCTCTCTCTCTCTCTCTCGTTTCGGTCTCTTGCCTCCTCCGTTCACGTCGCTCGAAAGTTTCATCGGAAACATGAATACAGTAATGATACGCGATGTTTATCGTGAATAGATCAATAAAGCAGCAAACTCGATTATTAAACCAATATTACATTCATCGGTTAGCTATTGTGTTAATATTTGTGGCAGATTATGTGCTTTCGGAGCTCATTTATGCCCTCTCTCTTTTCTACAAATAGTAAATTTAAACTTCACTCCCCGTTTAACTTACTTTTTATTTTTATCTCTTCTAGTTCTAAGAATTAGATAAGGCTAAGGAGTAAATTAAACCGAGATCAAAGGTAATATTTGGTAGAAATGGATACTATTAGTCGATCAATATTTCTCTACCACGCGGAAAAAAAAGATTAACTGCCACAGCTAAAAATTAGGTATGGCAGCTAAATTCAATAATATTATATGGACACTCAACGTCGTATCTGCGAGGTTTAATTTTCATTAGCTGTGAGGCCTTAATATTATCATTGTAACAGACAAGCATTTTGCTATTACGTCGATGTATTGATCATTGCAGCAAACGTTTTCTGTGTAGCAGACAATTTGGTAGCAAGTACAGTTTTAGCAAATCCATATTTATCTGTGATAGAGACAATTTTTTTTACACGGATACATTCGATAACTATGATAACTTTATGTTGCTAAATAAATTGACTATAACAGACGTATTTTGCTATCACGTCCTTATATTAGATACAGCAGCAAAGCCCTTGTATGTATTAGCAAACTTCATAGTTATAGGTAGCTAATGCAATTTCAGTTAATCAAAATTAGATGTGATCAGAAAGTTTTTTTTTCGTACAATAATCAAATTTAAATCTGAAACTTCAGAACTTCTAAATTCTTTTAAGAAGTTCAGGATGTATCCTGATTCGAAAGACAATAATTTTCAGTAAAAAAAAAGCTTTTCTTTGCGTTACAAATGAATGTTTGAGGCAATGTAGCACTCGAAATACATTCCTGATTTCCTATGTTCTAATGTGAATACGATCGCGCGTATTACATCAATGGATTATGTTAATGATAGTTAGCAAACTGAGGCCGGGATGATTAATTGCGTGAGCCAAGTGGGACGCGGTCCGATTGTAACTGAGCAACTATCGATTAACTCGAGCGCATCTTGGCACTTTATCGATGCGGGCATCACTGGCAGCGAGTTCACTCGATTAATTGTTTCACTCGCAGTTCGGCAACTTATCGCCACCGATTTTCGCGGTGTTCACCACGATGCAAAAAAGATCAACGATATATTGGCGTTACGTTGACAAATTCTTCGTCCTTGTTTATCTGGGTCACAAAAGTATTCAAGATGACGTTAAAAAATTGCGAGAACGTTACGTTCATTGGATTATACAGGCAAGTGTTAGATATGTTTTTAGACAGTATTCTTAGTAAGATTTAACTTTTCTTCCTTTTGATTGATTGAGAGATCGATTATGACGCGCGGAATAATTTTTCTTTATTCTAAAAATAAAAAACACTAAAGATACGATTCACATTCGCTGGTTATTTTATGAACTAAATCTCTATTGGAAAACGGTTATCCTTCGAAGTTAAGTTCAGGCAAGAATGCGAGAAGTCGCGTTCCCTAAAAATCGATTGTCGTAGAACAGCGTAGAATATTTATTTATTACCATTTTATAGAATATATTTTATTGATAATATAATTTCTCGTACTAATATTGTATTTTGTTTCGTTGAATCTGTTTTATCCTACATCGTCATCCAAGTAAAAGTTGATATCAAACTTATCATATTTTTGTCGGATCGACAGAATGCACATTTTTCATATTAAAATTAAAATAAATCTAGTATAATTTATAACTGAAACTTAATGCAATAGAATATCGTTATTTAGTTCATCCTATGATATAGAATATAGATTATGCCCAAACGCACTAAATGAAATCTTCGTAACATATTTATATAACGTATGCATATAACATTATCAGATATTACAAAATATATAACAAAATATACATAACGTGATAGGCGAATTTACCTCATCGAAATCATGTGACCTTTCGTTCGCTGACAAATCGGTTTTCATGTTTTATCGACCTGAATACAGTCGATAGGGCCGTCCCAATTAGTTATTTCACCGAGTTTGTTGGTTTACCACGGTTAATTTCAAACAAGGATTATACGTATCCAGGCTTACAACATCGAGGCAAAGTATCGAGATCAGCATTTAGTGTCGAAATCAGAAAACATACAGGTACAATATGGAAAAGTATAAACAACTTTTTATTCACTTAAATTTTTATCGGGCTGTCTGTGATATTAAACAATAGAAAATAACAATAGAAAAATACAAATTTACGACGAATTTTCTTTATTATATTTTAAATCTTTTGCTGGGAAAAAAATACGTTTGGTAACTCTGGTCTTTTTTTTTTTTAAAGAATTCTAAAACAATCGATTTGATCATTTCAGTTAGATGAGCGAGGGAGGAGTGCAACTACCGAAAATGTTCGACGCGGCGAATAGACCACCGTTTCCGCGCCTAACTAAATTCCGAACATTCCTTCCGCGGCATCAAGCGTTTCTAAAACGGCGCTGAACTGCTATTAGAAGCGTTCTCGCAGGAACTTCCTAACGATACTTCCACCGCCGTTGCCGCGATGTCGTCGCTCTCGCATGCCCGCGATCGCTCGCGGAACTTGTGCCTCGTTAGATTTACTCGCTGGTCGGTATTAACACCGCGACGAGTGCGAGGTGCGAGACTAGAAGCGAAATGGACGTCGCTCTTGATTCGAACGAATGGCAGAAAGTTCGTAATTGAAGCATACGCCGCGCTGTTGGAAAAACTTTCGTTGGAATCAGTTAATTTATGCAATACGTCGGCAGTCAGTAACTCTGTCAGTAAATCGATACATGAAAAGAACAGTTTTGCTGGAGTATCTAAAATTTAGTTAGATACAGATCCGAAGATAAGTTTATTAGATTGTATAGAACGTTCAAATTCTGGATACTAGAATATCAAAACTTTTGACAGCGTCATCATGCTCATTATGTTTGAGTTTCCTATTATATAATAATTTTGATTCAATAAAGTTATTTTCACATCTGTATCTTACCTAAATTTTTGGATACTTCAATAAATCGTTTTTTTCCGTGCAGAGAACAACGATTTTGCTGAAGTATCTAAAAATTTAGACACAGATCTGAAATTAAATTTTATTGAAGTATCAAAATAATTGTGTAAAATATTCAAGCAAGATGCTAGAATGTTAAAAACTTTACAGCATATTTGCTTCAATTTCTATATAATTATTTTGATAAGTTAATAAAAATACAAAGTGTCTTATAAGACTGAATGTGATTGCACAATGAATAGGAAATAAAGGCCATAAATGGTCAAGCTGGATCTTTAGTATTGAAATAATTCAGTGTGAATCTATATACTACATCCAATTCTTCAAATTGCGCGCCAAACTTATTTTCAGTCTTGAAACGTGATTCTAATGGCCATTCTAGAATAAGCCATTAGTAATAAATCCAGAAGCCAGAAGTTAAATATTGACCAATCACCGTCAAACGTAAGAAGAATAATTGACTCTTATTGGTCAATTTCTGGCTTCTGACTTCTGATTTATTACTAATGGCTTATAAAATGTGTGTCACAGAACTAGAGTAGCAATATCACTAATTAAGTTGACAAGCAGTTGTTCGACTATATTGTTGTATAGGCATCTTCATCTAGAGAAACATTTCTTTAAATCGAAGAAACCATTCTCTGGAATTTGATTGATCTTGATATTCTGATGCTGATAAGCATCCTAAAATCTGTAAATAATTTCATTGCGAAAAATATTACTTCAGCCGAAGTAATTTAACAAAATTATTTTCAAATCTGTATCTGTAATGTATCTAAATTTTTAGATACATTAGCGAAACTTCTTTTTATAAGTAAAATATCAAAGCAGCATTGTCAAATAATCTCTAAAAAAAAAAAACAAAGTTTTCAATCATACAAGTGTAGAGAAAAAGGAAAGATAAGCTCAAATAAGACAATGTCAATCATGCATAAATTCAATAATTCGAGTATATTTATGTTTCAAGAATCACAAATAGACAGTCTTATTCGAGCAATGTCGACAGACCAATTGGCTCTTTCGTATTTTGATCGCAATCTTCAGGCCGGTCACCTTTCTCACACGTGATCAGCGTATTTATAGCCTACATCACTTTTCTATTGCATCTATCCTTGTATTCTATTATCTACAAATATCAATTCTGTTATCTATACATGGTACCACAAATAAATGATTTAATGAAAATTTGCATTGTTCGAAAACGAGGGAAGTATCCATTTTTTAATGAAAAGAATGGCTTTGCTGAAATATTTAAAATTTAGTTGTATAAATGCGGATTTGAAAATAATTTTGTTGGGTCGTCAAAATAATTATGAGAATTAATCGGTAATTTAATGAAAAAAATCATCTTATAATTATAGCGAAAAATTATCTAGATACAAAAAGTTGGCTAAAATAAATAAATGTCTAGCAAGCAGTGCAACATTAAATACGTATCTAATAAATCAATCAAAGATGACAGAGACAGAATTTATGTTTCAACCATTCGTCAAATTTATCAAGAAAGTCTCTCCGTAACGATCAATCAGATGACTGCGATTATGTGATTTATATTTGATTTTCAAATTTGATTATGAGATCTAAATTGTCTCGCATACATTGTTGGAATTTTGTGCTAGAAATTCTACGAATATAATACATAATTTTCCATAGACACAAAAAGCAGCTGTAATTCTAGCTGAAGCGGAAAAAGTATTTTTTTGCGCGATGAAAATGATATTTTGAATTGATGAGATCATTCCGTATTACATCGATCTGCAATTTAAAGGAGTTTAGTGCAGTATATACCTGACTCTTCATGGGATCCGTATTGATTTGACACATATAAAGGCCGCCGTCCTCTTTCTGGACACCCTTGATGTGTAGATTCCATATAGAGTGGTCGCTATGGGACACGGACACCCTCTGGTTGTGCGTGATCACGTGGTCGTGTATAGCTTGGATCGCCTTCGTGTCCGCCTTTACCCAACCGACCTGGAACATCAATCGCCAGATCGGAGCCTTAATAGGCGAGGGAGACGGAGAACGGAGGGGCAGGCAGAGTCGGTGCCGGAAATCGCGGTGACGGCGTCGCGGATTTCGCCGAAGACGCCGCAATTTCCTCACAGGCATCCCCGACTGCGGAATACAAACAGATGCGGGGGATGCCTGTCCCGAGGTGTGCGTGCACACATACGTATAAACACACACACACACACACACACACACACAGAGAGAGAGATTGACACGCGTGATTCCCCTTGGCCAAACTTCCAGGCGGTATTTGCATTTTCCTTGGAATATTCCGAATCGAGCGAGGTGCTCCCGCGATTTCACGCGACGAGCAGGCGAGCGCATTGCACGCACATACGCTCTTACAGCCACAATTACGCTACGTACGCGCCCATTTCAATCGGTAATAAAAGAAGCGAAATGTAAAGGCAGCCCAACCGCATCGCGGCTTTGTCATTATTCCCGTGCATGTACGCACGATATTGCACGATTGCGTGGATATCGTTGCACATTCATCGTCCATGAGAAGGATACCGATGATCGTCGTATTTTCGAAATGAGAGAAATGACGATGAAAGATTCACGTTTCCCTTTCATGAGAAATTTGTCGATTCCAATTACAATAATCAAAGATTGCTCGTCGTAGATTTTTTAGTTGCTCGATATAGAATCGTTTAAAGCAGCACCGATAAAATGGGTCGCTTGCGAGTCAATCATTCTCTTCGAATTTGACTTTCAAATTCTCTTAAGAAGTGAATTATAAATGGAGAGACTTCGACACGCTATGCTCGTCAGATTTCCCGCCGAAGCACATCGCGAATTGTGTTTCGTATAAATTTAATTATTATGATTTCCCGCTTTCAAACACATTTTAATTTGACCGGCGCGAGGCGTTGACGTTTATTTACACGTAATCGATGTCCGCATTGTTTCGCGCGATTAAATTAACGGTAATAATAATTGCGCAATCTGTGTCACGCAATGAAGATCGAAACGGAAATACGGTCGAATGAATTCGAGAATGGAATATATATTACACATTCAGTTATGTTGATATTTTGCTTCTACTCCACTGAACTGCCGGCAGAAATTCGGGTCAATGTGAAACGTAATCGTGTATTCCATTCTACAATTTCATCGGACGTCAGATATGGATAGCGAGAGCAAGTCTACACATCTGAATCGTATCTGACCGACTACGAACAAATAGTACGTACTTCGGCTAGAAGCAACTGGTTATACTGTAATGCAGTTGCTGGTTATACTGATTCTCACTGTAGCGTAATGTAATTTGCAAAAGCGCAAAGAGAAACGATAATGCGTGGAAAAGATATCCCACTATGGATAATCCCACTATATGGCTATGCATATAAAATTATTATTATTAATTCCATACCATCGTAAAAATGAGAATTTGTGGTAGAATTTAAGAGCGTTATGCTATGTCAAATTATTTTACTGTGAATCATGCTCGCAATCGATTCGTAATATAAAATTAACTTGGCGTAATATAAAATTTATCGTTAATGCGTTGAAAGAAATCGTCCGGGCCGCTCGAATCATCTTATAGACACGTGTATCGATAAAAGTTCTTTGTAGTCGGTTTGAAAGAAGAAAAGTGAGTGGAAAAATTCCTCTCGACTTCTTTCCGCTTTTAAATAAGAATTTTGCGGATATCAAGATCGACTTTTGTGAAAATCGTACAGATTATTTAAAGCGTTAAATGTCTTTTCATGTACTTGTCGAGGATTCTTTTCTCGTTATGGATTTGCTCTCTATTTTATATAAAAAATAAAAATTAATTTCCGGACTAGAAATGTGTCAGTTCTTTTTAGGATATATTATGATGTAAATGAATATATAGATAATATTAACATGTCACGATTTAAGACTGTACTTTAGAAGAGATATTAAGGATAAATATTAAATATTAAGAGAAATAAGAGAAATTAGGAATAGAGATTAAGATGGTTTTTCAATAAAGTGCCGAAAATTTGGGTTGTCTCTCACCAGGGCTTATTTAAAATTACAAACATACGCATGATTTGAATAATAACAAAGAATATAAATATCGCTCAAAGCATTTGCACAGCAGAACAATTTAATTATAAAAACAATCAAATAAACGAGCAACAATGATGTTTGATAGCAAGTGTTTAATATTAAGGTAACATATCAAATAATCTATAGACGTTTTTTGACTCACAGAGTCTTCTTTAATATAAACTAAATCTAGAATAAGCTGATTTAATTTATCAAGTAAATCAAGAGCATCTTTACCGAACAAAAACAAGATAAGATTATGTTTATTTTTCGAGGTTAAATTTATATGCAAGTTTATGCATGTAAATATCTCTCTAGAATGCTGTTGATCTGTTACTTTTTTTCTGACCATTTAATCTTTTAAATTATTATAATTTCGTTTTCGAGAAATGTCTATGATAAGATTTGTGTGCAGTTAGTCAAAAAAGCGTCTGCGAGCTCTGTCATTAAGTTATACGTGAAAAGTCATTCTCATTTTCAACATTATTTTCCTCCCTTATTTCATCGTTACTTACTTATAGAATTTTGCACACGTCAATTTCGGTACTGCAACTTTATTATATAAAAAAATTAAACATTTCTATAGTAACTCAATTTACTAAAAAAACCACCTTAAGTGAAACGCACAATTAATGGATGCAGATAAGACTTTATATCTTGTAACTTATTTCTGTCCATTATGTGTTACGTTTAATCTCTCTTTTTTTGTTTCTTTATTTTTTTAATATTTAAATTTATTTCTGTTCCTAATACTTTTTCCATTGCATCCAGAACGAACCCAACGATGCGATTAAGCTGTCTTTTTAATAATATTTCACTTGCTTTATATCGAGATTTCTGCTAGATTTTCATGATTATCGGACCATATCAACATTATAACGCAGCACGCCTCGAACAAATGTTCGTGTGTACCGCAAAAGTTTAACTTGGCGGGGTAAGGGGAGGGGTGGTAGATATGACTTTTTAAAGGCCGCATCTCCTTTTCAGAAGTTAAGTGAGACTCCGAGAAGTTAAGCGAGCGTTACGACATCACAGACACGCTGTCGCTTTTCATGCAACGTACCCTGTAACCTCCTAGATGTTTCACCAGACACGTGAAAGTGGCGTCCCTCCCGAGTGGCACTGTTAGATTGGTGATAGGGCCAGAGAATTCGGGCTGAAAAGCGCCGCCTGAAACGATAAAATACGTACGACGTTCGTGAAAAATACATACGCCAATTGCATACCGCGCACCGCCGGCAATTTTTCGACAGCGACGTCAATTTGCCGTCGTGCAGAATGCACTTTATGCGAAAACGAATAAACGTCAGGAAGCTGAATGCTACGCGACTCGGCTAAACGCGGAGATGCGTCTCGCAACTGCAAATTAAACGCGTAGACGTGACGTCGAATTAGCGAGAATCACTGTCGTGTATGTGCGCCACTTAAGCAAACTTCCATATTCACGAGCAACATTGATCGACGCTGGTTATCCTGTCCATATCTCTCTGCTCTATTCAATGATTATTATAAATTTATAAAAGTTTAAAAAAAGGCATATCGCACATATAATTATCTTTCCATACTAATGCATATTTTTTCTTAGAAACAATCTTCATGCAATTACCAAATACAGGTGTTTCTGTATTACATTATTGAAATAAAAATAACTTTTGCAAATTCTATTGTGTTTATAAACTAGGTTGACGAGAATAATATAATTTTATATTATATTATCATTCTCTTTACCTCTTAATTCATAGTGCATTTTTATTTTAAAAGTTTATTTTAAATATGAAAATAATATAAAATATAATTTTATATTACATAATATTATTATAATTTTATATCATTTTTATGTAATTTTTTGAAGTACATACTTTACGAATTGAAAACTTAAAGAGGAGACGAGTTTGATTTTGATACGATCAGTTTAAATGAATTTATCTCGTAATAATGTAATTGGTGTGGTGTATAACGTACATATCTCCATTATCCATTATCTTCCTAATGTGAAATTATGCGTGCAGCACACGCAGCTGCCATAAATATTGCATCATGCATGATTATAGCTAACGTGATGTTCTATACGTACGGAACACATCCCCTTTTACTTTCTCATATTTTTCACATATTCTCAGATTATTTCGCAGCTGCGTTATGAATAATAGCGCTACAGGGACGATAGCGTTCAATATGACACGGCTGACGCGTAAAATAAGACGAAACGTATAAATTGCTTCGCCAACAAAATAGATACCGAGGGTGCAGAATGCGCGAACAATGGGCGAAGACGTAATCATTCCATACAGAAAGTTTACCCGTCAAATTTCCTTTTCCCTTGGGATAATATATGCGCACGCGGAATTTAAATAATTTCGCGTAAATTCGAGCGTAACGTCAAAGAATTTTTACGTCTCGTCAATAAATTAAACGGCCGCTTGACGACTCGCGCCGAGCGAATTGCATTAATCTTGTAATCGGCAGCCGGGTATCGCGTCGAGATGGTTATCCGATAGTTTACAGAATGATGACGTAAATGTTGATTGAATCGATCAGTATGGGGAGAGGTGAAACGACGCGGGGAGGCATGCACTCTCTCTCGAATGCATTTTCTCGCGCAAATAGATTCTACAGAGAGCAAATAAGAAGAACTGACTTTACAATACTGTTGTTTTTATGTTTTAGGATCCTCGCGTAACAGGCTGTTTTGGTACTTGAACTCTGTGTGTCTAGAAACATCATATATATATATTGAAAATGTACCGTAACAAATGGGCTTCCAACGAGATGCACGCGCGTCCGATAACATTTTCGTATGAATTTTTGCTAAAAGTATCCAACAGCAGTATCCAACAACGGGGTAAACAGGACAATGATACTTCTGCAGAAATTTCTGTCCCAGTTGCTGCATAAGCTACTTGATTTAGAGTTTTTTTTTATTCTACAGTTCTCTCTGTCGCGAGGTTTGTCCGGATAGACGCTTGACGTCATGAAAATGTGACATTTCCTGTTAATTGATTAAATTATAAGAAATACTCGGTATATACTTGTCACCCTATAAGACAGTTATCTATTACTACAGTTTATATTTATAAAACTAAAATTTCTCTATTTTTAAATTGTTCCCCTTATTTTAAAGAAATATGCAGGCCGATTCTTCTTCCTTTCCAACGAGTATCGATCGTCGCATCTTCGCTGATAAAAACAAACGTGGCAACGTGGCAGATTATTATTATTAGTTAAACAGTGAGAAAATTTATGAGGACATTTCCTGTGAATTGATTAAATTATAAGAAATACTCGATATATACTCGTCGTAATAGATATAAAATAGTTATCTACATATTATTGCAGTTTATTTATAAAACTAAAATTTTTCTATTAATTAGGAATGTAATTTAGTTTTGAGGATATTGAAAGAGATGGCACTAATGTCAGTATTGTCGAAAACATTTCAATCACAGCTATTATTTCTTAATGCTTCAATATTACTCCATAATATTTATTAACAATGAACGCAGTAAACATCGTGTTTATATCATTTAACAAATAGAACTTCCTAAAGAACATTTTCGACATGCGTTGCTTTTTTGTTTTTTAATCAGAAGAAAACGGCGACTGAAGATCATAGCATTCTAATTTATGGTGATGTTGGCTCCATCAATTAAGACATATGAATATTGGTTCTGTCGATTCAAATGTGGTGATTTCAATGTAACGACAAAAGCTGGAAAATATAGATTTGCAAGCATTATTGGACGAAAATTCAGCACAACCCACTTCAAAACTTGCCAGAGAATTAAATGTTAATCATACGACAGTTATTAAATGCGTTTACATATGTTGTTTAAATAAATCAGAAAAATAATTCTGAAAAAAAACTCTCAAAACTAAATCGCACTCCTAATAAATTGTTCTTTATTTTAGAAAAGAAATATGCAAATCAATTCTCCTTCCTAGCTAGTATCGATCGTCGCATCTTTGCTGATAAAAACAAACATGGCGACGTGGCATATTATTATAATATTAGTTAAACGGTGAGGAAATTTACGATATTGAGTTACGATAATTAACTTATATCGTCCTCTTTTATTATGTCTTTCTTCGTTTAGCAGACAAAATCGCACATAGTTATACAACGGTTTTACACAAATAGAAAGAACTTTTCAGAACTGGAGTTTTTAAAAACAAATATTTAAAAAACACCGTTTGCCTAAGTTCCTATATTTATATGGATAGCTCTATGAAATTAATTAGAATGCGACAAAATGCGAACTGAAATAATTTTGTTATAATTTGAGCTATTAATTTTCGATTATCCGATTTCTCATTACTCTCTACATATAACGATACGTTTGAATGAAGCTTGTAATTGTAATGAAAGATCTTTAATTACATTGACATTCAAAACCTATTAAAAAGTGATATATCGAAATTGTGACTACGCAAAATAAACGAAAATACAGTTTGACGTGAAATCATTTTGATTAATAATTATCTTCTGAAGTAAATTGACTTTTGTCATGCTTTCTGATCTAAATGTGACAACTTTGTTTATCAATGCAATTAAAACGTTAAATTTGATTATAAATGAATCATAGAACGAGTAGTTGTGAAAAATTGTGTGTCGTTAATTTGCAAGAAAAAAAACAGACCTGAGAAAGTTGCACAAATGGGAAAATTCTACGAAAAGAATCTGTCGAAGTAATAAAGGAGCTAATAGAGATTTTAAGAAAAGAACCAAGTTGATAAATTTATATCTTACGACAGGAATAATTGGATCAACAAGTATTAATAAGAAAGATTGTAACGATCGCGTGAACCGTTTAATATTGCTATGCTTGATAGGAGCAGCACTATGTTAAAGGTTAAAATATAACTCCAGAATACATAAACCGGGTCGCAGTCATTTGTTTCGTAAAAGTAATGTTCGCAATTAAAGCGTCACATAGTGAAATACACACAGTTTTAATTATATTCAAGAAAAGAAATTTTCTTGGAAAACGTTGTAATGGAGAATATTGCATTTAAATTTCATTATGAATTTAAGTTTTACGCCAAGCGCGGCGCATGATAAATAATTAAGAGGATAAGAAAATTACAAGTCTACAAAAACATATAAACCAGACACCCACATAGAGACAAAATCTAAAAGTATTAAAAAGTCAGATACCTGATATTGTTTCTTTTCTATTTCATATGATGTTTCTTTGGACTTTTAATTAATCGAGCGTAGACCGTAAGTTGCTTTAAAGTATTACCGGAAAAGCTAGAAAATTGTCAATAACTTATCTATTTTATTAATATTAAAAAGTTCCACTGGCATAAATTACTTACCGCGCGTCGTACTCGTCAACATTGTAGCGGAAAGTACACGAGGAGCTACGGTTTTCCATCCGGAAAACTTTGTTGAAAATTGCGAGTAGCTTATTATCGAACTTCCGAGAAAATAAGTTGTTATGGATATTAAATATCGTAACATTCTTCGCTGCTACAGGTATGTAGCCCGTAATCGAATTAGTAGCTTTCGCTTTTCGACACACGATCCTTCGCCCGTAACAAGCAGTCTTATTAATCTCAGCACCGTAAACTCTCTGTCACTATTTCGAGATAATTCGGGTAATTTTCGCGCTGGGGCTTCCCATTCTTCGTTGGATCGTTTTTCGCGTTAATACCGTTACAGTGATAGCTCACTCCGGAAAATCGCAAATCTTTCATTCATTTTTACTCTCTCCCGGAAATTAAATTTCCATTTTTATATTAGTACGAAGATACTTAATTAAATTATTTTAATTTGTCAAAACATTATTGTATTATATTAATTTTTCCAGAAAAGAGTTGAAGGATTTTCCTTTGTCAATAAATAAATATTTGTTAGTCAAATAACATAATGGCAAACATTTTTAACATGTGTAAAATGTTTGCTGTGAAACGCATTTGCGAGTGGAGATGCAGGTCGCTGGAAAATAAACTGATGGTAATACTGATGGTGAGAGAAGGAAAAATAAACTATCGATTACCGCAGTGATTTGAGCAATTTATCTCATAAATAGCATCGCACCGTGCAATTATTTACTCCCTATTAGTCAAGCGTTATTTGACAATAATTTTGCGCATCATTTCGTGGATGTCCACATCGAACAATGCAAGAGCATATATTTGATGAAATTCACACAATAATCATCTGG